TAATAATAATCATAGGTAATTGCGTAAGAGGATAGAGAGAGGAGTAAGGAAAAACGACGCGTTTGTAGAAGCGACGTGTCTACACGTCGACGATTAAGTAGCTTTAGCTTAGGAAAGGAAAGGCAATTATTATTCTTATCATACTGTTTATCGCTATATAATTAAAAAAAGAATGACTCGGTGCGGCGACGCGAGATTCGATTCGAATCTACACTGTGCATTTTTAATTCAAACAGAATTTAAATAAATAAAGAATTAAATAAATATACATATATTGGTTTCTTTTTACGTTTAGTTCATTCAAGTTTTTCTTTAGTTTAACGCATTATAGCATGATGAATCGGGGGCACAAGACGAATCTCGCGACCACGGTTTTCCTTTTTTTTTTTTTTTTGGTAAATTTCTTTTTCTAAAACGCGTTCAGTTAATTAATTGAAGTAAAGCGCGTTCGTGGAAAGAGAACGTCCCCTCCTCCGTGTGAACGTGGTATGGACGCAAGATTACACACATTTTTCTCTCTTCTTTCTTTTTATTTTCACAACGTTTTGTATGATTTTTCGTTCAATTCGATTCGCTTTTGAAATAAAATAGAACTGCCGTGAGGACTACTGCTACCAGTTCGAGCGAGAATATGTGCACAGAAAAAAAAACAAAAAAATACGTATAGATATTAATAAAAACTTACGGATACGAAACTCAAGGCAGAGAGAGATAGATTAAGAGTGAGAGAAGAGAGAAAGAGATAATAGTGAGAGACAGCATGCGAGACTGAACGGTTCTGAGATCGCAAGCGTTTTATATGTACATATGTACATATAAAATAAAAAATATATATATATATATAAGATTTGCTATAAGAAACTGTACAGTTGTACCAAACGTTAAACGATATAGGAACCTAATAGAGGAGGAACGATAAGGGGCTCGGATTCTTCCATTTTTCTGGGGGAGGGGAGGGAGTTTTCTCGAGGATGCAACGATAAATACTTAAACGTAACGTTAGGTTTTTTATGCAGAGCAAAACAATATTTTTTATTTAACCCTTTATTTTTATATGACGTTGCTACTGGAAACCGTTTGTACGATAAGGTTCACGAACGAATGACAGGGGAGAACGGAATGGAACGAGTGTTACGAGAATGGATGATTAATGAAAAGTTTAAGTCGGTGAGGGCGGGTGGAAACCCGAGTCAGACAACGAAAATGGACCCTCGAACGAACGGGTGGCCAGCGGGTGTAGCGTGAATATATAATAATATACGGACTAGAAGAAAGGAAACGAATAAGACAAATTCGGAACCCCGATTGACAGATTTTTGAAACTGCGATATCCGTGTTATACTGAATATATTATATATATAAATATATATTATATACAGATAGACCAATAGAATCTCTTATTTTTACAAGAAAAACAGATCCCCGTGAAACGGGAAAAAAGTAAGGACGAAAAAATAAAAAAAAAAAAATATAACGTTCGTCGTCGGGCGGCGACGATCACGACGAATGGCGCCCTTTTCGGAGGAAATCGCTTTCATTATTTTACTAGCTTGTAGAAATTTCATTGTTATTTTCCCCGCGTTTGTGACTTGGCACGAGGCCGGGAAAGGTCGCGCGTTCTTCGTCTTCATCGCCTGCCTCTTTTGACCCCCAGCGCACCGTTCGAGTCGACTTCGAGCTCGTGACGAAAATTGGGCATTTAGGATAACGCGTATCTAATAAATTTTATCGACTTTTATTAGCGTACACCGCGCGGTAACCGTGTAATATATCTGCGCGCACGTTTTACGATATAAGAGAGACGCGTGTTTGTGCTGTTCTTGACCGACGAGGAGTGTTATTTTGATAACGTTTTTTAACAATTTTAACACTCGTCTGAACGGTGCGCTGGGTGTCAATTCGACGAACGCCTACCACAGAGACTTAGCCGCTTTAATAAATCCCGGGGGGTGGCGTCGTTGATATTTCGTCTCGGTTCTCGCGACGACACACAGGCTTTGTAATCACTTTGCACAATTCTTTTTTTTTAAGTAACATTGTAAAATGTAATTCGTGGGACCCTGCGTGTTCCGCATAAATTAGCAACCTTACGTTTCTTAAGAAAACGTACAGAAAGAAAGGGAAACTTGGAAAATGCGATTTTGTTCTAACGAAGAATTTTCGTGAGAGAATCTATGAGTAACTATGAAACGTCTACTGCTAATTATATAATTACTCTATTATCGAGCAATACTGTTAACAATTATTTAACATTAACGGGAGCGAATCCCTTGTGCGAATCGTTTATAATCTTATTGTAACGATAATAATATTTAATATGTAATATTATATAATATATTATATTACATACTTATAATATAACCGTACGTATTATAAAACAACATATATCATGTAACCGTTTATTCGATGATATAATATATTATTGATAATATTAATATTAATTATTAATTGTAACACTATTCGGTAAAGGCG